CAAATAATAAAGAAAAAAGTTTAAAACCATATTATTGTCACTTAAACGGCATATACATTAGAACTTTTTACCGGGTTAACCTACTTTATGAGTATTTATTTGACATATATACAAAGGAATTGACAATTGAAACCCACTGGGTTAACGAAATCCGGTTAAATGTAAACGCTCTATTACACCTTATTAAATACACCTTGATGTAAACTATCAATTTTCATTGAAATCTGGTTTATATTAACGATCTCAATGTAGGCACGATCTCAGATTTCAATGTAGGCATCCGCCTATAATAACTCCTATTTTTGGCCGCTGTTAATATGAGTTCGCGACATAGTGTGTTGTTGAGAAATTGTTTAATTTTTTTGGTGCATCTTTTGCCATAATCAAACTTAGGATTATAATCCTTTACAATTCAGTTATAAATTGAAATCTAGCGTAAGACATACATATAACACCATGCGGCAATATGGAGCTCAAGGTTTTGTGTTGAAAAAGTCCTTATGATGATGAAAGCCCTTAGCGTATACATAAAGAATCCACAAGGACAAACGGAATGACTTTTTTGCTGGATTTTGCTTTCAAATATTAATTGAAAAGCGCATAATTTCAGCTATTACTTTGAATTAAAAAAAAATCATTTGTTATGTGCGGCCAATTATCTGATTTTATTATCTATCAAAAAAATATACACCTAAGTCTGTTTTTACACGGCAGATTGGTTCCAGAAGAAGCCGTGTAAAAAAGACATTGATCTTATACATAAAGGGAATTCCCTAAATTAGTGCTATTCACATTTGCTTTGACCAATAAAAATTGTTTGTACGCGCTAAAGGGGAATTCACTTAAATCTTTTAGCTAGTGTTCGCAAACTATCGATGGTTTCAGACTTTTTTCTTTCATAAGTACTTTTTTGTGATATGAACATACTTTGCAAAAATTAAATTTGACAAAAAAATTTAAGTACATAAAATTTCAAATCATGCTAAATGGAATAAAATCGTCTAAGTCCGCTATCCCACAGGCAGATTTTTATTTGGCAAATTTTTTGTTTTCTCTTTTGAAATTCTCGCTTGCTTTTCCATTAGCAAATTTTTCTTTGCCAAATTTGCGAATCAAAATACAAAAGAAAGAAAAAACAATGTCAAAGGTGTTTGCATTTTAAAGATTTTTTAATATTTTATTTATTTTTTATATAAATTGCAAAAATTAAAAATTAAATTTCACTTGCACAAATTAAAGCAACAGGTTTGTAAACAAAAGCCGGCTGTGTGTCAGTAAAGCGAATAGGTTCAAAAGGAAATGTCAACAAAATTGTTTTCAACGAACAGAGCAAAGCAGAATTTGCGTGTACGGCAAATTCTGAACAGGCAAATTTTTGTTTTTCTTCCTCGCACCCCTCTCGCCTACAAACTCAGTATTTGCCAAATAAAAATTTGCCTGTGGAAAAGCAGACTAAAAAAATTAAAAATATTCAATTTTCAAACCGTGTTATATCAAAACCGTGTAAAAACAGACTTAGGTGTATATATGAATATATTTTCACACCTTGTGACATGTTACAATTGTAAAAGGTAACTACAAACCCAACCGATTTGATTCCAACGCAATGCTCGTGACAAATATGACAAACTAGTTGTGTCTGGTTACTTTTGAAGTAACATTATATCTGTAAAGGTGCTTAAAGTACATTTACATATACGGTTGCAAATCGACTCTATTAAACTCCTTGTACATTAGAATTTTTTAACGGGTTAACCTACTTTATGAGGATTTATTTGATATATATGCAAAGGAAATGACACTTGAAACCAACTGGGTTAACGAAATCTGGTTAAATGTAAACGTACTATTAACGAAATAAAGAAATACACCCTAATTGTTTACACGTACCTTTAATCATGATCAACATGTCAATCAGCTGATATTTGTTAGTATATGAAAAGAATAATTACAACAATGGAAATTATTTTGCAATGCTGTGAATGTTTGTGAATGACAAACACAAAAATTCTCCTCTGATTTTTTCATTTTTGCATTTGGCAACCGTTAAATATAAAAACAAACAACTTGCGAAAAAGGTTGCATATTTTGGTACATTGTGAGAGAGTTCTCATTAGTATCACGATTTCGATCATGATTTAAAATAACCCTGCCGCATGGTGATTTAAATTTGTATGATAAATCATGGTAAATTCAGCCTGATTAAGAAAATAAACCGTGATTAAGCTTCTAATCAAGATTAAATGTTGTATGCAAAATACGATTTCATACACAATATGTTGTTAACATATGTGCTGTCACTCTTTTCATCCGTATGTAATTCATTTTCATATTTATATATATATATATATATATATGACTACAATGGCCGATAATATTCGCTTCTTGCAAGACCTGTTATGGTAGTGGCTCATTTAGGGCATTTAGAGCTGTCGTCCCTTTGATTGAAAAATGTGGTTAAAACATGTGGTTGTGATTTTTTGTAAAATAAATTACCAGAATGTTTTAGGATCTACACTTCAAAGAATATTTTCAATGAACATATTCCATATTGCTCCCAAATCGTACCAAAAAAAATAAGAGATAAATTTTAAATAGTGACATTTTGACGCGGTAATTCAACAGTATGCTTATTTAGGTGATTGCTTAATGTTTTTTATACAGATGTTTTGATTTAGCTGCATTTCAAATTACAGTTCTTATTTTTTCTCCGACATTAATACATTTACGTGCAGTGAATTCACTTACTTGCAAATTAAGCGCATTTGACTTTCCTGCACACAAATAATTGCAAGTGTTGCTAGTGCAGGTAAGTCAAAACGGATGTATTTTCCGGAAAAATATATGTCCACCCCTAATATTCAAGTACAGACATTGACGATTTATTTTATTAATTTCTTATACGGCATTTACATTAGAGCTTTTTACCGGGTTAACCTATTCTATGAGGATTTATTTGACATGTATGCAATGGAATTGACAATTGAAACCCACTGGGTTAACGAAATCCGGTACAATGTAAACGTACCGGATTTATTTAACCCAGTGGGTTTAAATGATCAATTCCTTTGAGAATTCCTCATAAAATAGGTTAACCCGGTAAAAAACAATAATGTGTTTTTTTGTAACTTCATTAGATGTTGTAATTCATGCATACACCTTGGTTGAATCAAATTTCCCTTAGTCCCCTTTTCCACAGGCAAATTGTTATTTGGCAAATTTTTTGTTTTCTCTTTTGCTTTTCAACTAGCAAATTTTTCTTTGCCAAATTTGAGAATCAAAGTACAAAAGAAAGAAACGTCTAAAGTGTGTAGATTTTAAAGAATTTTTTATATTTTATTTATTTTTTTATATATTTTATTATATAAATTGCAAAAATTAAATTTTACTTGCACATTTTAAAGCAACAAGTTTGTAAACAAAAGCCGGCTGAGTAAAACGAATAGGTTAAAGGGAAAGGGAAAATAGGTGGAAAGGGGGACTTATAGTACGTTTACATATAACCGGATTTTGTTAACCCAGTGGGTTTCAATTGTCAATTCCTTTGCATATATGTCAAGTAAATCCTCATAAAGTAGGTTAATCTGGTAAAAAGTTCTAATGTATTCCATTTCATTTGCTTTTTTACAAATTTTGACATATATGGTCTGTTCCCGTACTGCAAGAATCTACTATTTTTTACTACGATAACACTTTTTTCCTTTATGATATCGGAAAAAATAGTAAAAACTCGTAGATTCTTGCAGTACGGGAATAGACCAATAATGTTGCCAAGGTCCTTTATTTGGCCATGAACATTTGCTGTGTGTGGTAATTCGCCGGCGCGACTACCTAATACATGAGAAGAGGAGGTGGGTATTTTAGTACGCAAAAGTTGCATGTGTAAACCCCGAGTAAGGGCGGGAATTTTTAGTTATTTGAAACCGACTATTGGTTAATGCCGGAATTAGTTGTATTTACCCTATAGCATAGTATGGTGTTTTCGTGCGTTGTTTAAAATAAAAGACGCTGGAATCGTTATTTATTTTTGTATGGTAAATGACTCAAAATTGTGCCGGTTTTAGGAAATAAATGACGCAACATTCTGTTGTATGTAAATGTGTTTTATGTTCGAGCCTTAAAATAGAACTCATAGTCTGAAGTACCATTAGGATGAAATGTCAATTTTCAAACACAAAAAACTCAAGAAGAAAACGTCAAGCCAAATAAAAAAAGAAAATCGATGACAAAACGGAACTGAAAAATAAAAATGAAAGTTAAAGCGGAAGCAGAAAGAAAATATGAATGAAGACAGAGCGGAACTAGTCGAATAGTAGAAAGTCGAACTACGTTACCCTACTGAGATAAACAAAATTAAGAAAAATATGGTATTATTAAAGGAATTTAAGAATAATATCGTATTGAAACGTTAATATTTGTGTGCATAATTCGCCATGAGGACATGGTATTACTTAGTGATTCGAAAATAACATATGTTATCGGTCGTGCTGCCGTTATCAACGACTTGCGGTATCCCTAATCGGCAATTCTCCGCATGCCTTTTTCGCAACAATACGCTCTTAAACGGTGTCTATCACACCTCATTCGTAAATTTTCCATTTCCCTCTTTGAGTTTTTCCTTTATCGGTCATTTCTTCTTTCCCCCCTTCTGAAGTTGATGGAACGTTTTTAATTTTTCCTAGGCATCACTACATCATCACGTAAAGAAAAATAAGTTCTCTATTGATTTAAACAAAATATAGCACGTAAAACGTAAGTAGAGAACAACAGCTGCAATAAATAAAAAACAAAATACAAATGAGTGATTAGTGGCCGGCGAAAGAAAGCGAAATAATAATACAGCAATTTTAAGCGGATCAAAAAAATATCAAATAAAGAAAAGGTGAAGCCAACTGCAGCCACTGACAACGACGTCGTTTGTTGTGAAACTCGGAAAGAAACAAGAATACTCATTCGCAAAAACATCTAAGCTTCAAGCTCTAGATGTTACATTCTAACAACGAATCCACTGGAAAAATCATCTGCACGACATAATTATTGGGGACAATGAACAACGGCTTTAGTACGGAAGAGGATTCGAGAGGGGGGCATGCCGACCAAACATGTTGTTTGATAGATGAGAACGAGAGATGCAGAAATCCAGCTGGAAACGCTAGCTACAGTAAACGTATACAAAAGACCGTAAGTACACGTCTCAAAAAATGTTTATCTTTGTGGCAAATTGATTACAGCATCGTCCGTTTGCAGGTGAAAGACAAACGTCTTAAATTGAGTAGCGATCCAACATCCCAGCACATTTACATATGCGACTACCACAAAGACCGAATTCAATCGGCCCGTTCCAAAAGACGACGAAAAGAATCTGAAGATGACAGTAATGATACAGACATTGACCTACCAGAAGTGCCAGATCTTTATCAGCTGCAAGTGAATACATTAAGGCGATACAAGAGACATTACAAATTGCAAACACGACCCGGAATGAAAAGAGCGCAGTTAGCAGATGTAAGTATAGCACGAAAAAATATAAACGCATTAGTTGTCCCAAATTCGCCTTGCCAATTTATTACATAATCGATGATAATTATGTTGATTACAAACAAAATTATTGAATCGATATTGCTGTTGTATCTTCTTCGATGTTTTTTATATAAATGGCTCGAAGTTAATGGACGAAACGAGGTATTCGGTATTCCAAGTCACTTTAATTAATGTCTTTCATATTGTTGTAAACATTCTTAAGTCCCCAACAAATTATAAAAAGGGACATTTGGGATGTTTAACAATGAAAAGTCGTTGTCATATTAATTTGTATCGTTTTATTCTTACAGACAATTATGAAACACTTCAAAACGATAAATGTTAAAGAAAAGGAAATTATTACATACTTCGTGTACATGGTGAAATCAAATTCCAACAAATTAGACCTTAAAAATGGCATTAGTAATGACACCACTTGAATGGACAGACGAAATCAGGCGTACATTTAGTGTGCTGGTGCTCCATTCGCATTAAATCTAAAATTAATTCTATTAGCTGTAGATTTTAAGCAATTGTTACCGTTTAAGTCACTCACATTTGTGTAATATTTTTTTTAACAATACGTATACATATATTTAAACATCTAAATTAAATCGATTAAAAAAGCATAACATTAGCAAAACGTGCATTTAGTGAAAACACACAAAATGCGTCAATCCAAATTTATTGTTGTTATTTATTTTGTGGACCTTCGATTACATTGCTTAAGCGTCCCAGCGCAAAGCGACATGTGGTACATAGTCGTGAGAGCTTTTGTATATGTGTAAGATTTTGAGTGTGTATTAGTGACCAATTGGTATTCATACTGTCATAGTAGTTTTCGTGAACATGCTCAGCCCGGAATTGTGAAGACTGCACACATTGAAGAATAATTTGCTACCCTAAGTTGTTGTTAAACTTGAATTTACATTTTGCATTAATTCGAGATACAATTATAATCTGTAAAATGGTATATTCTGTCACAGATACTTTAAAATACATTACAGAATTCTCTTTTCGAATGTAATAAAACACATCATATTGAATATGTACTGAGGAAAACCTAATTTTATTATAAAAACAAAAATAGTCTTATATGGTAATTTTTTCTTCCTCCTCAGAATCACTTTGTGGGTCTCCTAAAATGAAAGTTAAATTTGCGATTTATTATCGTTATTATATAATGCTTATGACATAAACCTTACTAGGAATTTTGTTTTGTACTTTGCTTGAAATTTTAGTGACTTGTTCTTGGTGGTTCGTGTATTCTTCTTGGTCTGGCGCGTTATCCTCGCTATCCATGTTGCAATCCTCCTTGTCTTCTACGGTCCATTTGTCGTTTGAAGCCGTCGGGACTTTGTCAGCGCCATCTAAGTTACAAGTGATGAAGTTCACAATTTGTGTAGTAAAATAAAAATAATATCTTACCACTCTCCATTCTATCGTTCTCAAAATCAATTTCATTACATTTGCTTTCATCGATGCGACTTTTATCTCCATCATCAAAAGTAAAATGTCTTAATTTTAAGACCAAACGATCTTCAGCTAAGCTGGTTATGGCATTTTGCTTAAGGCATTCCGTAAAACCTACATTTGATCGGGACTCTCTGGCTGCTATGTCGGTTTCTAAAGTCTGCTTCACCAGTTCCACAACATACTTTGCATGTTTCGCCGCCCTCTTTGAGCATTGCAGTAACAACGCCGAGCTAGTCAGGGAAGAGCCGCCTAAATTTAAACAACACAATTCTCGGAATGAATTGATTCCAAAAATCATTTGTGATTCACTAGTGCGCTCTTCTATAACTGTAGGGTCTGCCACAGCGATTGAGCCTTCATCGAATGTACAATAACTAACGCAGACTGGATAGTGATGCATGACCATAGGCTGTGGCTCCTTTTCGGCGGCGGTGTGTATTATTACATCGTCTTCAACTATACTCACTTCTGGTCTTCTAAAATGCATTAGAGCACAAAGAGTGGCAATAGAGCAACAGTCAATTAAATTTCCTTCATGATTAAGAACGTTCAAGTCTACCCGCAAAATCCAGACACGTTCTTCAGCTGTTATACACAAAGATTCCAAGTCTAGACATTTCGAGTCCTTGAATGTCCTTTCCAAGGTCCTGTTGAGCTGTACGGTCAACTCGCAATTGCGACCAGCTTCAAAATGAGGAGCAGCCATTGGACCCAGCTCGACATTTATGTGGAAAATACCCTCATTGGGACGAGTCGCCTTAGGTTCTCCAAGTTCACTGGACACTTGTGCAAGTACTTTGGTTTCACCCAAAGCAACTAAAACACTACCCCATTCGGCACCGTAATTAATTTTTATACTCCTAAATTCATCATTCTTTCGTCCGTCCAAACGCTAAAATAGTAAAGAAAAACATATCACTTAATAAAGTTAGGGATTGATCCGGAGAGCATACAGCCGAAGTACCTGGTTCTGTTTAATTGCTTGAATTATAAAATTCTTTTCGCACGTCGATAATGGAGTTTCTTTCATGTTTTTTTTCTATTTCAGTTTTTCAATGGAATAATAAACCAGTAAACCGCATTTTACAAATAGTGTGCAGGGCATGGATACGCAAATCGATTTTAAACTAATCGATTAATCGACATTGAAAAGTGTTAAGCGGTGTACACACTATCACTTTTGAATGACACTCTTGTCCAAATTTTGCTTCTTTTTTTGTCATTTATCGGGCAACCATAGCATTTTTGAATGACACTCTTGCCCAAATTTTGCTTGTTTGATAGTGTGGCCTCTCATGATTGTCATTCATTAGGCAACCACAAATATATTCATGGTTGTTGGACATTCAGTAATCGATAAAAAACTGTCATTCAAAAGTGATAGTGTGTACACCGCTTTAAGTTGAGTCATCCCTCGCGTTATTTGTTAAATGCATTTTAACTTTTTGTTCGCGTTAGCGTCATAAAAAAAACACGTAACGCTATCATTGTGCTGAGCCCTTGAGAGCAAATAACAACGTTAATATTTTCTTCTTGATTCTGTTTTTAATACTCTTCCTTATGGTGTTTTTACACGATATGTATTTTACATATGTGCTGTCACTTATTTCATCCATATGTCAAAATTAGCAGTGTACACAAAACATTTATTTTTGTGTTCAAATCGGCATATGTATTTTACATATGACATAACCTATAAACAAAAAAACACTTTTATTTTTTCTTAAATCAACATCATTTTTTTATTAAACACCTACAAACGAAATAATAATTCGTAATTGTTGCCTTTTCATCCTTTTCTTTGAATTGCAATTGAAATATTTTCTTCCAACAATGTGTTTCATTCAAACAGCTGATTTCCTTATGTTTCACATACGAGCATTCGGAAAAAAATACATATGTAATTGCATATCGTTTTGACATATTTTTCCGTATGTTTCACATGACGAGTTCGATTTCCATATGTAAAAAAGTGACAGCACATATGTAAAATACATATCGTGTAGAAACACCATTAATTGGCAAAACCTTTTTCGATTATTGGTATAAATCGATAAAGTAGCCAACGGTAATTCATTCATTCAATTTTGGGACAAAGAAATTTATAAAAAAAATCCAAATCATAAGTTCATCATTACATATTTTTAGTATTAAAATGTTATTTCATTTGAGGAGAAAGGTTATAACTTCCACAACATATTTAATCATTTTTAAAAATCGTGTTAATTCTTGCAATATGGGAACAGATTAATTTTATTTTATTTCCAGGCTGTGTTTTTCTGTATTCCCACTTCGGAGAAAATTCCCTTAAACTGGCAACACTGTCACTTGATGGCCCATATATCGACTTGCGTATCCCTATTTTGTCTTTGAACGTTTTCCCTCAGTCTGAGACTAAGTTTGAGCCATACATATTCCTTCTTTTATTTAACGTAGACTTGTTTCGATTTTTCTTTGCGGATTAAGTGATTAACGAATCTATGAGTAACTTATTTATTTAATTTTTGTTTATTAGTCTTTCAAAAACACAAAGCAAAGAGGGGAAAAAATACAAATATTAAAAAAAGAAATACCATTTAAATCGAGAAAGTCAAACGTCACAAAGAAGCCAAACCAGCGAAAGTGTTAGTGAGTGACAAAGAGCAAAATCTCCAAAGAGTTGAGAAGTTCGAATATCAAAATCAAATAGTGTGCATAAAAATTAAAAAAGTATAAGAAAAAAATTATTCATTTGTCCTTAAGAAGAAGAGTAAACGGCAAACAGATTCCATTTCTAACAACAACAGTTATTGTTTGCAAAAAGAGGAAAACTCAACATTACAATGTCCATAAACAAATTCACAAAAGGCCTTTCAGCGGACGAAAAAGCAGAGATTCAGGAGAAATTCACAGAGGTAAGAGGTATAGTAGAGTACTCACACGCTCCTCCATAATGAATAATTAAAAATGTGGCTTAAAGAAGCTAACAACAAAAACAACAAGAATAACATTTGAATGCCTTTAGGATGAGTCACTTAAGTCTCATATAATCAAATAAAGTTCACATCTCGGAGGGAGGTGAGTGTGGCGTAGCAGCGAATAAAGGTGGGTGAGCGGCAAGGAAATTAATTACTCGGTAACATACGGCTTTGGTTGTTTTGCTTAAATCAAATACCCCGGTACTCTCCCCTGGTCCTGCCCCACCGTCATGTTGTAATATTGGTAGCTTTATAGCTGGCAGTGAGCAGGCTGACGAGAAAAAACTACATGTGTTTACAGTATTCAACCCCAAATCGAGGACGATTCCTTTGTTTGCTTGTTCAATTCAAGGCCTAACATGCAGTCCTCCCCTCGTCGCTTTTGACGACTCGTTACAATGCAAAAGGGTGCGTTTGCCCATTAGTGTGTGTGTGTGCGCGCGTTTATGGGGAGGATGAGTTGGAGGAATAGCAACTACAGAGTAGTAACAAATAAATAAATATCTACTAACAGCAACAACAAGGCAATGCATTCATTCAGCCAACATGGCCACATGGGTGTTGCCGGCATATGTTTTGTTTTTTTTTTTTCGCATACAACAAGCAGGCGCAGCATCAGAATAAGGAGAAAGGCATTTGGCATGAAAGAAGAAATACAAGTCCATCCACAATCCTCCTCATACATCCAAACCAACAATGCATACACTCGCTAAATACGATTGTGTGGACTGTGTTTTCATTGCTTGAATGTCGGGCTTAGTTTCGAGGAGGGTGACACCACTGGCTGATAAAGTCTCGAAATAAGGTATTAAGCCTTTGCGGGGGTTGTTCGGATTATACACAATGTCGATTGTGTTTTAAAAAGAGATTTTATTGAAGAGTTCGTAAATCAGGAAATAAAGTGAAAATTATAAAAAAAAAAATCACAAGTGATTATTTTGTTATACTGGGGACCACACACAGCATACATACAACGTGTTTTAATATATGACTTGTTTAACTTAATTATATAATTAAAATGTTATGATATGTAAATTAAATGTTAATTAAACAAAAAATATTTATAAAATTATAATATGTGTAGTAAAATATATGTCTGCGTACTCTTTCGATGTTTTGTAAAAAAATTACAATTATTTAGTAAAAACTGCGACATATTTACATAAAAAAGCTTTGAATGCAAAGATCTGCTTTGACTTCCGTTTACTGTCTTGTATTCTGAATTTTCCTTCAGAATATGTGCAGATTACTGTGGACTATCGCTCATTTGCTGCAAGACAGCCATAAATCCTTACTTTTTAGTTAATGATGCAGAATTATTCGCCATATCAGAATTCATCTTGTGTAAAAAATTCAGATGAATATCACACTGATTGCGACGCAGTAGAATTGTAAAGTGTGAATCAATTGAAATCTTAAATCGCATTTCGATTTAAGCCAGTCTTATTTTATTTTGACCGCCAAATAAGACTTCGGATGGTATTCCAAACACTTTAATTCTATTTCGTATGACCTTTTTTCTATAGCTGGTTTAGCTATAAGATTAAAGTCATTCATGCGGTTCTATTCTGAATAATAATATTAACACGGCATTGTGCACATAATGACATAGTTACTTTGTCTTAGACAAAATTTGATCAGCAATGCTATTTTAAAATGGAATGCATTCATCAGTTTGAAATGAATGCATTCATCCTATGAAATTATTCACTTTTTCTCGTAAAACACCTGCACATCGAGTCTTTGTTGGCTGTTTAATGTGATGTGCACTTTCTTTGTGATACTATACTGACCCAAATGGGCAATTATTGAATGATTGTTGATGTGATAGCACATTGCTATAGTGCGCTCACTATTAAATGTTGCAGTTGTGTGCATTTAAAAGAAGACGACAGCGGCGACGACAACATGACATCACTTTGATGCAGTGTCAAGTTAATTATAGTGACGACAACAACAACAAGAACACTTTCATAACAGATCACTTTCAGTGTGAATGGTGAATATAGTATGTTGTTGTTACTGTACAGACGACGAACCCATATGAATACCCACCTATATTTATTTAAATGTTTACAAACCATTCCTTATCGTTTATTGCGATGTGTGCGCAAATGTATTTGGGATAATAAAATCATATCCACATGAAGAACATTCAGAACAATTTTAGAGAGCATTGAATGACCATGATGTGGCTTGTTGTCCCAATTCAAGAATAAAAAAATTCAGCGAACGCAAAATTATTAAAATTCTGTGTGGTACTCCCTTCCGATAAACCTATGAACCAGACGTACAATAAAAAACACTGATAAAGATCTCATTGTCACCCACATATTGTGATGTACATAATCAAAACATTCAGCATATGAATAAAATCATATAAACTTCTTTAATTGATCAATGGTCTAGCCATCCCTCAAAATCCTGTATGTTATTAATTCTTGTCCTGACTTACAGAAATTTCCACATCATAGACACGTAAGATTTATCTATATTTAACTTAACGCCACAGTTTACAGTAATATCCATTTTACTAATCATTAACAATGAAGGTTTTTTGTTTAGACATTCGAACCAATTGTGAATATACCATATATGCGGGTTGGCTGAATGGCATTCGAGCATGACACACCTTCTGCTTATACACAAATGCACACTTTTACGACATTTGTTGGCGAAAACAAAAAACAAATAATAAATATCATAGTCATATTATTGGTACCAGTTCCTAAAAATAAGCTAATCTTGGGATTTACATAATGTTCACTTAGGGTGGACTGCGTGAGAGAAGTTTGTTGTTGGTCCCAGTTGTCCATGTTGGAACTACGCCCATCAACTTACTTGAGTCATATTTGTTATCACGTTATGTTCATGTTGTATAAATATAATTGCTACTAATTGCCGTTTCTTTCCTCGGAATAATGTGCAGACCATTGGGAAGCGACAAGACTCACTTTTAAAAGGTTTCGCTTAAGAGTGCCTTGTCATTTTTGTTGTTGTTAATACAACTTTATTTACTGCGTTTCACAGTAGTATGTTGAATTCCGCCCGTCTTTCCTTATTTGCCTAGGTCTTATCTTTGTCGGGGGGTTTCCACAACTTGTTGTATTGCGGTTTCCATTTCATTTCACTACACTTTGGTTTTGTTTTGATTACATTTTTTTGCATTTATTAACCCAGACATACATACCGAAATAATTAAACATCTATACACGCTTAGGCAATTGAGGCTAGTTGACAGTCTTCTCACTTCGTCATATCGATACTGTTCAATGTTTTGATGAAACAGTATAAGAGTGAACGTTTTTGGCACAGATATAACGCATAGTTGGATTCAAGTGTGTATGGAATTTTCAATTAGCTTGTCTATGTTGCATAATCTAGTATATGTATACTACGTGAAGACGTTGAATTCATTTAAAACGTATTATCGAAGCAAATTCCCATTGCAATGTACAATATTTGCAAACACTATATTGGTTGTATTGCTACATTTTGTTGTGTCATTAAATCGCTGCAATTTTCTTCAAGGGAATGCAATATGCAATGTGGTTTTCCGCTATGTGCCATATCTGTCAATCCGTTTAATTTAAAGCAAGATCTTTTTGACTTTTACTTTCTTTCCATAATGACGGAGTAAGTTTATTGACATTCAAAATTCATCAGTTGTATGTCTTTCGAATTTATCACATTTTTTGCGGAAGTTGTTAATTGTTACGCTGTTTTCAATTTTCGATTTGTGATATTAAAATATTGAGGAGACTATTACTACTGATATAACTATTCCCAATTAATGAAAATATGATAAGTAGGTAATTATTAAGATCTTTCTCATTGTGCTGACATTCACAGTTCATGTGCTATCATGTGTTCTATTTCAATTGCCGCGTATAACCAATACCAATGCCGGTATGGAAACAATCTTAACATTATATGGCCGGATGACAACAACAACACTTGTTTTGACAACAACATTAAACAGTAATTAAAAATGGTTTCCCCCTCCAACCATATATCTAGACTTGTTTTATCTTTACAATTCATATTGATAATGATTATCTGTAGAATATAGATTCATTATATTGGAAACGTCAAATTTGAAGTTGCAATATATATATATATATAATAGTTTTATTTTAGTTCAGTGAAAGTCAGCCACCATTCTCCTTGAAAGTAATAAATAATAAGTTTGCGTTATATCCTCTAATTATACTACACTTAATAGCACTTAAATTAACATTTAATTTTCCTCACAATAAGTGCGTTATATAAACACTTGTGTTAAGTGGTAGCTATTAAAATTTAGACAAACTACATATGCTCATTAATTTACCCCCCTGTCTAAATATTTTGACATTGTTACCTACCTGCTCAAATGGTGTCTGCTGGAAATTTTTTTAATTCGTTCTGAAAAATATACAGACAATTCAGCGAATGCGTAGCAACAATCACACATACACATTATGTCATACGATTGCAACTTCTTATAGGTATATTTAATGTATTCGAACAATGACTTGATAGGAATATTGCAGTTTTGTTATTAATGAAATATGGTATGCTTGGTAATCCCAATAAAAAAATGTTCTATGTCCTAGAATTAATGTGTTAATGAGAGTTGGAATGACATAGTTTTAGTGAGTCACACTCATGCCTATTGTAATGAAAAACCAAAACTATTTCGCAACAAATACACGACAAAGAAGCCGGTTAATGCGTCTATATTGAACATCACAATGTTTTGTGTGGCGTTTCGTTTAGTTTCTTTCTAACTTTCTAACCTTCTTCGGACTGTCGATTTGAATAGTTTTTTTTTTGTTGCTTTCGTATTCTATTGGTATATTCTGTTTACAGTTTGTTTTTATTGGAGTTTCCGTATACAACAAATTTCCCCACCAAAAAAAAGTGTGGTGGTCAATCGTTTTGGTTTTTAAAATAGAAATGGGGTCTATCCGCTTCATGCATTTGGTAGTTCGTGGGTTATTATATATTTCGTTCATTGTGTTATTGTTGTTGTGTGACAACGACATGCAAATTTGGCCATGCGTTAAATCATAAAAAAGACATCGTTTTTGTCGTGTTGACCCATAATTGTTAGTGGTGTCACCAAAGACATTTTCCGTGTATTCTCTACACAACACACATACACAGACACGCATTTATTGTGACTTGTTATTTTACGGTTCTCGTGGATGTCGTTGACATTTGACTGTCGTGTATATCATTTCTTGCCGTCAATGGTGGGCACATTCCAAACAAGAACTCTTAAATGCGGCGATTAACACTTTGCTTTGGAATTAAAATTAAAAAACACACATTTCGTGATATAAACAAAGTTCTGTGTACTTTTCAAACAACTAATGATAGGTAATACTATGGGAAATAGCAACGAAAAATGTCCTGAAGAAGTTAGAAAAAGTCTAACGAGAAATAAATTAGTGTTATTGGTTCCTTAAAAGTATTTACCAATCAGCTCGGGAAAATAAAATTACGGCCAAAAGCATTAAGAAATAATTTGATATTAACTGGAAACTAACCTTGATGTCACTGTGTCAAAATTTCTATAATCTTATCAATAACCCCAGACCTCTTTTCATATAGTATTTATAACACAGGCATCCATATCTCTAACTGTAATTTGTCATTGGCACTACAATTGTTGTCTTCCAATTTTAATAAAGTGCCAAATATAGAACCCCGTATATGTCGCAAAGATGATGGTTATAACGATGCAATAATGTACCATGTATCCAATATTTCAATCTAAAATATGAAATGCGCAACATTGGAAGATAATTAAGAGAACTTTTTAGGTATGCCGAAAAACTTGAGTCTCACATCAAACTGTTCAATGGTGTTAGTTATGGCCACAAGGAAAAAACTTTGATTTTATTTATGGTGGGTAATGTGCACAGTGTATTTGTTGATCTTCAAGAGTAATACAAATCCATTACTATTAATTTCATTATATCATTTTCTTCGTCAAACTTTCATGGAAGGTCAGAAACTACAAACAAATAATAAAAATCAATTCTTTCTATGCGAATAATTAAAATTAGGTGTGTACAAGTTTTACGTATTCATAAATAGATTTCACATTGATATGTATTAAATATAAAATGATGGAACCTGAAAGAGTGCACTGTGCAATGATGGAATTGTTAACGAACGTCAAGCGATAAGGAGAACTATTTATACCTGTATGGGTATTGATAAAACATATCTGGGTACGATTCACACCTGACTGACTGATTTGTAAATATTTTTTCGCCCATATATTGGAGCTTTTCAATTGAACACCCCACGGCGATCAGTTGAGTTTTGCATTTTGTCGCGATAGGCCACATCGTATTTGGTTGGGTAAAGGATTGTCAGAAATTTGCGCTAACTAGTCTTTCTTATTGTGAGAAATTTTGTAGTAAATAAAAAAAAACTCAAAACATGGCCGACATTATTGATTTGGAGCATCATCATATTTTGGAGGAGTACAAACAAAATCTCGAGGAGATTCTGCCAACAGTACGTGTCTTTTTGTAACCCAACTTCATCTACATGAGTTTCAATATTTTACAACAACTGCAAAATAATTATAAATACCATAAACTGACAAATTTTACTATTCAGCAAAGAGCGAAATAATAAAGAAATTGCTGAACCAACACCACGACACCATGGTTTTATCTTATCTGCAACTGCGTGCGAATGAATAATTTTTCCAATTTGCTGATTAGTAATTCATTGGAAATTGAATCGAAAGCGGCAATAAATTCTAGAATAAACATATGAAGTAATAATTCAATTCAAGAAGAAGACATACAAATGACTGTGCGAATTGGTATTAGCATTTAATGTTGTAGTCATCGAATATCTATCTATCTATGCCTCTGTATGACATTCTACTCAGTTTCTGTGTTGGTGCTGTGTCTATTCAAATCCAACTGTTAAGTGTTAGTTGAAGAAAATTGGAATACAAAAAAAAAAAAAAAAAAAACTAACGTAGGTTGTGTTTAGTTCGTTAATTTCGAAAACAGGTTTCATTTCGTCGATGATGAATATGCCAATGCGAATAGCCGATCGTTGTGTCACCCGCTATCAATTGCTTTTAATGTTAAAACTGTAAATAGATGGACAGTGTTTATATCTCGCCTTCGTTTGAATATAAGACAATGAATGAAATTCCAAAATGGAATGAGTCATACGCCAGTAAGAAACCCTTGTAATAGCTACTAGATGACTAACAACACCGTGTCGATAATTTATGCACGAACTCATTCACAGCTTATCACTATAAATATATGTATACATTTTAATATATTTATCTTTTTTATTTCAGATTGATGCCAACAAAGATGGCTTCATTGACCTCAGCGAGCTTAAATCCGCACTGGACCAGGTTGGGTTTAAATTACCAGGATATCAAGTGCGTGAAATGATCGATGAATTCCAAAATAAGCAACGCACGTCCCACCAAGGTAAACTGAATTTAGAAGAGTTTGAGAATTTGTGTCTGGATCTCAAGTCAAAGGATGTAGCCAGCACATTCAAGACCGTTGTCTCCAAAAAAGAGAATTTGGAAACTTTGGGCGGTATGTCCAGCATCTCATCCGAAGGTACCACACATTCTGTGCGCTTGGAAGAACAGCTAGCTTTCTCCGATTGGATCAACTCCAACTTGGGTCACGATCAGGATTTGAAACATCTGCTGCCCATTGATGCCGAAGGCAAACGTTTGTACCAATCGATTAAGGATGGTATTTTATTGTGCAAAATCATTAATCACTCCTGCCCCGACACAATTGATGAGAGAGCCATTAACAAGAAAAATCTCACCGTTTACCGTGAATTTGAGAACTTGACACTGGCATTGGTTTCCTCGCAAGCCATTGGCTGCAACATTGTGAATATTGATGCCCATGATCTGGCCAAGGGTAAACCTCACTTGGTTTTGGGTTTGCTGTGGCAGATTATTCGCATTGGTCTCTTCAGTCACATTACTTTGGATAGCTGCCCTGGCTTGGCAGGTCTGTTGTTCGACAATGAACGTCTGGAAGATCTAATGAAAATGTCGCCAGAAGCTATTTTGCTTCGTTGGGTAAATCATCACCTGGAACGTGCCGGTATTTCTCGTCGCTGCACCAACTTCCAATCGGATATTGTTGATTCTGAAATCTATTCCCATTTGCTAAAGCAAATCGCTGGTAACGACGTCGATGTCAACCTGGATGCTTTGCATGAGAAGGATTTGGTATCCCGTGCCGAAATTATGTTGCAACAAGCAGCCAAATTGAACTGTCGCAGCTTCTTGACACCACAGGACGTCGTCAATGGGGTCTACAAGTTAAATTTGGCTTTTGTTGCTAATCTATTCAATAATCACCCTGGTCTAGATCAACCAGAACAAGTTGAGGGTCTAGAGTCCATTGAGGAAACACGCGAAGAGAAAAGTAAGATTACTACTAATTTATTTTCTATTCTTTAATCTAATACTAAATACTCATTTCTAGCTTACCGCAACTGGATGAACTCCATGGGTGTAAGTCCTCATGTTAACTGGTTGTATTCCGATTTGGCCGATGGTTTGATAATCTTCCAATTGTGTGACATCATTAAACCGGGTATTGTGAACTGGAGTCGTGTCCACAAACGGTTTACACCCTTGCGCAAATTTATGGAGAAATTAGAAAACTGCAATTACGCTGTGGAGTTGGGTAAACAGCTTAAATTCTCCTTAGTTGGTATTGCCGGTCAGGATTTGAATGATGGAAATGCAACCTTAACTCTAGGTAACTAATACCAACATTTTTAATGCACAAGGTATTCAAAAACTGAGATTATTTCAGCTTTAATTTGGCAACTGATGCGTGCCTATACTCTATCCATTCTGTCACGATTGGCCAACTCTGGCAATCCAATTGTTGAAAAGGAAATCGTACAATGGGTCAACAGCAAACTTTCCGAGGCCGGCAAAGAAACATCTCTTAAGAATTTCAATGATCCAGCCATTGCTGACGGCAAAATAGTTATTGATCTGATTGATTCCATCAAGGCAGGCAGTATTAACTACGATTTGGTGCGAACCGGTGGAACCGAAGAGGTACGTCTTTAAATTAAATTTGAAAGTGTATCATTTAATCATAAATTATCGTTTTCTAGGACAATCTGGCCAATGCCAAATATGCCATTTCAATGGCACGCAAAATTGGTGCCCGAGTCTATGCGCTACCCGAAGACATTACTGAAGTCAAACCCAAAATGGTTATGACCGTGTTTGCATGTATGATGGCTTTGGACTACATTCCCAACATGGACAGTGTCGAGAATCAAAACAACATTAACAATAGCAACTAAACGACATGCCAAGATGCCAAATGCAACAAGAAACCAACCTAAACATCGAGAATTAATCCACCTCCACAACAAATATTTTTAATAACAACTGATTGATTTAATGAGAGAAAGAAAATGTGAATTGAAATAAGAAGTAACAAATAGGAATGGGTATTAAACGGAAGGATGTCCACGGTGTATGGTTCGAATCTGGCAATATTGTCAAGCCAACGCCGCTTTATTGTTCAACGATTCATATGATGGATCACAGCCTTCCAGACACATACACACAAATCACGCCAATTAAGTAATTATGTATTTATATATATTTTTTAGATTTACGTATTTTTTTTTTTTTTACAAATGTAAAGCGTTGGAATTTAGTGATGATCCCTTAATTTAAATTTCAACGCCATTTGTAAGCTTGTTTTGACTTACTTTTTATATACATCTATTATAAAAATACGTACCGATATGATTTTAAAGTAAATCTTTTATTTTGTTGAATTTCGATTGCGTTTTACGTAGAAAGACTTTGTTTCCAAAAACCTTATTTTATAAATAAAGGTTAAGCTATACAAATAAAAAGCGAAAAAAACTAATGAGAGCAGTGCATTCAATAATACACACGAAAGCTATTAAGGAGTGACAAATATGTAATATATATACAGTGGTGGTCACAGAATTAAAACATTTACTGTGGTAAACATTTTTTGATCAGCCCTCGATTCGTTTGAAGTATTTTTGAAATTTTTTTAATTCAGAACACTTCGATATACTGCACTTAGGAGATTTAGTGTGAAAATGGAAAATTATGGGATGCAATTTTTCCATAAATAACGGTTTTTATGAAAATGCATCGACTTTGAAGTGGCCATATAATTAAAACATTGTGTGATTTTTTTACTTTACTGCATTTTTTGAAAATATTTTTAAAAAAGCTCTTTAATTTAGTTAAATTATGTAAACTAAGCACCGATAAAATAATTTACTGATAAAATTTTTTGAAAAAATCTGTAAAATCTATCAAAATTACCAAAAATTCGTACAGTACACTTTACATTGAAATTAAAAGCCTAAAAGAAAGAAAAAATTTACAATTTGACAAATATTTAAAGTTAAGCTATACAAATAAAAAGCGAAAAAAAACTAATGAGAGCAGTGCATTCAATAATACACACGAATTGAAAGGTACATTTGCTATTAAGGAGTGACAAATATGTAATATATATATATATATATATAGATTGTTCGATTCGACAGACACCTTGCAACCATTATGTCATTCAGTTCCTTTACAGTTTGAATAAACATTTAGCACAAGAATCAACGTTCTACTTTACGCACATTATGATTTAACGATGTAATAACAACGGATCCGCCTCAGTGCCATTACGTAAAATTGTGGAGCAACTTACAGGAGACAAGCATTATTTTATGCGCACACCACTTTACATGTGCGCATAATGTGCAATAGAAACCATCTACCTAAAAATATATAAACGAATTTTTGTCGAATGTCTAAGCTTAACCCCTTGAGGCACGAAACGAGTTGTATAAAAACAAAAATCACTACATAATTTAAGTTTTATTTTAAATTTTATTTTAAATAAGTCTAAAGGTCATAAGAAAAACAAATAGATTGAAAACAAAACCCACAAGTATCTGTATTATGTATAAAGATTATAAACTGAAACATATAATAAACAACAAATGATTCAACATAATTTGCTTTTGCGTTTCTCCTTAAACCATTAATCATGCTTATCAATATTGGATTTCGACGTCGTCGATAAAGGTTGTGGTGTTACATTTTTATACGAGTACATTACAGTCCGTTTGGAAATGCGTCGATGCGTGTTTTTGCTAACTTTCCGCTTCTGTCTTGAATCTGTATTTGGCTCTTTAGCGTCAAGGTAACATTGAACGGTTTTGTCGCCCAGCGTTGTTTCGCAGTGGTAACAGACACGCTGTCGACTGTATTTCTGAATACACCTTGGGAATGATATATCATCCGATCTCCTGGGGGTGTTGTCGGAGGAAACGTTTTCCTCGCTTTCACTGGGCAAGAGCTTTCTTTGTTTGCGATATTTATTTTCAATTTTTATTGCAAAACTTTTCGGCGTAGATTCCCTATTGTAAGAACAGTTTTCCGATGTCTCCCCACTTTTACCCTGGCAAATTCTACAGTTGCTACCATTTCTTATTACGTTTTTACAATGTTCAGCCTTTCTATGCAATCTTGATTCCTCTGTTGATGGAATTTCTTTTTCTTCCTCTTGATATTCTGCTGCCGAGGACGTTTCTGTGTCATTGTCGTTGGTATTATTTAAATCTTCAGTGCTGGAACTATCCGAATCGGCTTTTTTAGAGTCGCTGAAATATTTTTGAACAAATGCCTCATACGCATTATCATAGTCATAGGCATGCTCTTCTGAGGACACATCATCAGCTTGTCTTCGTAAGGGTATTTTCGATTTTTGAGTGGCATTTGTAGGAGCGCCGCTATCTTGGTTTTCTTTGTGTATTTGCAGATTGGCCAGTTTCTGACCAGCAATAAAAGTGTCCAATGAATACAACAGATCGCCAGGCTTTATATTCTTCCAATCTAAAACGTTCTCATTTGGTGTTTTCCCTGAAGCAACTCCATGAGCAAGACATGCAGTTACAAAAATCAGTCCCTTCACTATCACCATGTCGTTGTCTATGTTACTGAATGAAATTAAGACAACTGTGGCGTATATAAACCTTATTCGTCTCGCTATATTTTCGATGGAGCATAACGTAAACCAATAATCAAAGAAACCGCAACACTCTTATAGAGGTTTTGATTGATTTTTGGTCAACAGCGGAAATGCAGAGAATATTTGCGAAATTCCGTTATAAACAATGCAAAAGAAAATTATAATCTTCAATTTAATAGAATTTAATGTGAGTATATTCACCCTAATTACGGTTGGCGTAGGAGTGTCGAAAAATTGTGCGCTGTCGTAGTTATACGACAAATCAAAGATTCTGTTTAAGACAGATTACAAACAATTTTACCTTAACAATATTTACCAATTAATTGTTACTTACCAGGGAATAAATTTATGTGAATTTGGCCGACCAAAAACTACTACGACAACACCTATGGCGTACTATGGCAAAGCCTACAGTAATAAGGATGGATATCAGCCTAATCATGAATACCACATCCGCTAAGAATTTTATGTTTTTATTTTCCTTCTATCATCAACAAAAAATCAGCAAGGATATTAATCCTCAATTGAAAAAGTAGGTATCATGAACGCTCCCAAACTTGCGTTTTCCTTTATTTATATTTCCTTCCGTCCTTAATCCCGTAAACTACATTTCACAATTAAATATAAATTGTATCATTGTAAAGCAGCTTAATTGTAAAAGGGATGGATATTGAACATCTAGAACGATATATCACCACATTAAAATTATATAGAAAAAATCTATTAAAAAAATTAATTTTTATTAATTAAAAAAACTTTTTTAATTAATTGGATCAATAAAATCATCACTTTTTGAAAAAACCTACAGCCTTATTCTGGATGTCAATTCCGTACGTAATTCTAAGAGCGAACAACAGTGTTCGAATGCTCCTCAGATCATGGCTTAATGTTGCTTTCTGCAACACCAATGGATTCTATGCAGTTGTGCACACAAAATTTACCACCATTGCCTGGCTTAGCATTCACACCTAATCTTGTCCAACCAAGTGCAGCAAAGGCCTATGAGTGGGGAAACGGTTGATTATTCTGGCTGTTACTTTTCTAATGTAATAATTTAATGTAAATAATAAATGAATTGATTAAAATAATAACACTTATTTTACTATGCGGACTAAGTAAACAAATTTCCATTATAGGAGAAATTCCGACGTACTTCATTCTCTAACAAAACTGTCCTAATTCGTAGTGTAGACTCTAATCGCATACTTTGTAATCAGCTATATCAACTATTATGTTAATGTATTGGCCATTCTAATATTATCTGCAAACAAATAATTGGGGATAAACGCAAGAGGGAGTGTGTTCAACGCATATTACATTTTACTATGTTATTTACTAAGAAATATATATGTATATATATTTTATTTCTTGGAACTAAATATTTCAAATCCATCATTTCCAAATTCCATACATACTATACAAAAACATTTTGAAAATATGGGGTCGCATTTAAAAGGAATACACGAAAAACAAATAAGGTACAAAAATATTGTAATTGTCTTAAACCATTACTATGAAATCACTGTGGACGCATTGTGGCCATTAGCAGGAATGTTGTTTGCCATTTGTTTGTATTTATGGGACTTTTGACGCATATTTCTCATCTCGCGACGTTTTTCCCGAATCAACTGTTTGGTTTGTTCGTTATCCATTTCCTCCCAGTCACCGGTGTCTTCATCCTCCCAATCCTCCAAATCGGCCTATTATAAAAAAAAAACACACAATTATAAAATACATACTTCGGCTGAGATTGTTTCAGAAGTTACATTCATAGCTATGGGTACATCTGTTTTTGCAGCCTGCAGTCGGGAGAAGTCTTGTTGCTCTTGAGTGTCATCTGCCAAATAATATTTTGGCTGTGGCTTAATTACAGGAGTTAGTTCCTATAAAAGTAGGCAAATTAACAACAGACAATATGAACCGATTACAAAACATTTATTTACCTTAAAGAAGTCGGGCTCAGCCACTTCAGTTTGTGGGGTAGGTGGTTTAGCAATTTGTTGTCTGTATTGCTCAATGTGTTCTTGTACTGACCGAGGACTATCATCCCATGAGTTCCAATCTCGCTCAGGAGCCGTCTTCAGGAAACATTGGAAAATCATTAAAAACGCTCTGTATAAAGGATTAAATACTTACCGAAATGTTTGAAGAAGTTTGGGGAACAGCGTAATTGGCCTGTACGACAACAACATTATTCATTGGCTCAGAATAGCTGGGTTTCCTTTTCCGTGAAAAGCAACATAATGCCCTTCTAAATAGACCGAATATACTCAAGAAGAGGATTTTTATCTGCTGGAAAACCATTAAAATAGAATAACAATTGTAATGTAAGTATACGACGTTCGACGACTTTAGTGGGGTTGTCTCATGCTACGAAGAGGGAATGGCCGATAAAAACGAAACGAAGCAAAAAGGGCGAGAAGACTATTGTTTACGAATGAATGTGATGCATGAAGCTCAAAAACAGTGTTGCCAATATTTTTTTTCTCGTTCCCAAATGTTGACCAATAGCGCATTTACATAGGCACTTTTTATGATGTGGATTTACAAAATCCTGAAAATACATTAAAGTTAGTCCGCTTTTCCACAGGCAGATTTTTATTCGGCAAATTTTTTGCTTTCTCTTTTGAAATTTTCGCTTGCTTTTCCATTAGCAAATTTTTCTTTGTCAAATTTACGAATCAAAATACAAAAGAAAGAAAAAAAAAACGTCAAAAGTGTTTGCATTTTAAAGGTTTTTTTTTAATATCTTATTTATTTTTTATATAAATTGCAAAAAATTAAATTTCACTTGCACAAATTAAAGCAACAGGTTTGTAAACAAAGGCCGGCTGTGTGTCAGTAAAGCGAATATGTTCAAAAGGAAATGAATTTGCGTGTACGGCAAATTCTGAACAGGCAAATTTTTGTTTTTCTCGCACCCCTCTCGCCAACAAACTCAGTATTTGCCACATAAAAATTTGCCTGTGGAAAAGCAGACTTATTTACACTGGAGACAATTTTAAATTTCAGATTATTTTAAATGACTGTCAGCTTGTTTACAAAAAGAAAAAAAATTATCACGAATTTTATAATAAAAAATAAGATTTTAACTCAAAATATTATAATTTCCACCGCTCAGAGCACATATAAAATGAAAAGTTCAGATATCCGATAATACATTTTAGTTTTTAAATTAATTTAATAATATGAATTCAAGTATATAATGTAGAATGCATAATGACGATAATTTATATTGGGCAGAAAGGTTATTTTATGTATAAAAAGTTGTGACTATACCAAGAACTTTGATATTTAAATTTTATACTTTACAAAAAGTGAGTTAATCTATGTGCACTCAGCGACACATTTAATGGGAACAGTTGCAACTTTTTGGCATAAAAGCGGCATTGTAAATAAATGACGCTGGATGGTAAAAGACGCAAAATTGGGCCGGTTTTAGGAAATAAATGACGAAACATACCTAAATCAAGAATTTTCTATGAGCTGTGTGAAGTCAGCCGGTATTTGTTTACATATGTGCATATGTAAACAAATACCAGCTGACACACACTCACACTTGTTTACAAAAAAGGAAAACAAAAATTACCACGATTTTTAAAATAAAAAATAAGATTGTAACTCAAATTTGGCTGTTTACCGTACTACAAGAATCTTCTCGATTTTACTATTTTCTTCTACATCATAATGGAAAATTCGTTACTGTAGTAAAAAGTACTACATTCATGCAGTACGGGAACAGAATAATTTTTACTTGAATTTAATATTTATAATTATTTTTGTTGTGCGCTATTAGGTCAGAAATGCATAAAAACCTTTGTCCTTCTAAATTATGGTAATATTTATTATGAATGCAAAAAAAAAATGAATTTTCAGCAGTCGACATATTTTATGTCAGACAGTAATTTTGAATATTAACTAATTTTAAAGCATACTCTAAGGAGATACGATTATTTTTTGGGAAAAAAGCAGGGTTGTATTTGAAATTATCTCGATTTAGCATAGGCTTTAGAGCAAATCGAGATATTCAGCCTTATTCTGGATGTCAATTCCACGTGAATTTACTCGCTCTCCCCTTCGTCTTATTCTGAACAACATTTTTGTGTGAATTTTTTCGCATTCTCGCTTTCGCCTTATTCTGAGTAGGAGAATGAGATGAAATTTTGTGCGAAATTTTTCGCTAATAAATTCAAAGTGAGTTGACTACAAAAACATAAGTAATAAATATTTTTATGAAAAATATTAACACAATACTTATTCTATGACGATTTAGAATATTATAAATGATAGTAAGCAAATATTTATCTGGAAAACAGCAAATAAAATGCCTTTGGAAATCCTATTGATAATGATGCATTGTGCCAAATATTGCAAAGGAGTGTATAAAGGTAATAATGAATATTTAAGTCGAGTTTGATGTATTTTGGAGGCGAAAAAAAGACATTTTTCGTGAGGATCTGACTCTCAAGAAAAAAAAATTATGGAAAAACCAAATTTGCCTAATGAGCCGGTTAACAGTGAAAAACTTAAGGAAAAATTATGAAATAAAAACAAAACAAAAAAAAAATACAAAAAATATATTTTTTTTCCAAATTATCGTTTGCATTATTTGAAGGAAGAAATAAAGGAGTAGGAGCATAACAGGCCACTTTAAGAATTTGGTGAGATAAAATATCGAAATTATATAAAAAGGCACACAATTATGTGCCTGTGTTTTTGCCATCATAAAAAATGTTCTTTTATTTGTAATCTATTGTAGTTGTTGTACCAAATTGCATCAAAACAATGAACAGCTGTTTCACATGTCATATTGTAGGTTGCCATATTTTCAAACGTTAATTAATTTTCTTTTAATTACAAAGCATTTATAAAGCGGATTCTTGATATTTCACATTTGTATTGTTATAAAGTTTAAACCACAATAACAAGTAACAATTTTTAATAAAATAATGAATAAATAAAATATTGAAAAATATTACACAATTAAATTACAACGGGCAAATTACAACTTAAATTACAATATGGCAACACACACATTACAACTTAAATTATAATATGGCAACACGAATCTTTTTTTCAACCACCATTTTCGAAAACTCGAATCCGCATCTCGCATTTTTTGCGTCTCCCCAAGGTAGATATACAAGGTAGCCGCATCGGCGAATTTCTACAACAAACATCGGTTGTTGTATTTTGATATGTCAAAAATATTTTGCCAAAACAAACAGATTGACAAGATTTTTTTACACAAATTCTTGTAGAAAATGTTAATAGAAGTATTGCCAAAAAAGCTCTTCGAAATTCGGAGATTTTCATTTATAATTTTGTTTTTTAATTTTTTGGTTCAACATTACAACAACATTTTTGACATTTATTTGTCCAACAGCTGGGCCGATGCGGCTACCTTATTAAATATACCTTGCGTCTCCCTATTCATTCAGAATAAGGCGAAAATGTGAAAGCGAAAATTTTTGTACATGCGAGATATCTCCCAGCAAATATCCAGAATAAGGCTGATTGAGTGGATTTAATTTTGTATGGTAAATCGAGGTAATTCGAGCTGGATTTAGCAAATAAATCGAATAATGCACATAACCACGATAAAGGCTATAATCTAAACGCTCCATTACCCAAATACGCATTGCGTATCAAAATATAAAGTTGAAATTTTTCGTATTTCTGTAAAAGTAAACATTTTTCAATCAATTAAAAACTATTTTCATCCATTTTCGCCGTTTGCAAATAAAGTCCTTGTGTATTTGGGTAATACGGACGTCTATATAATTAATAAAATTAATTAATGTTCTTATTTTTATTAAACATATTATTAATAATAATACTTATAAAATTAATCTAGCCCGTTCGTTTTCTAAGGCGACAAATATCTGAAACGGAATATATATTTTTCTTAATAAAAAACATATTTATCTTATAAATGTGAACTTATGATAGCCCTTAGTATAAAGCATTTTCAGCGCTAGGCTTAAAACAGGCCCCCTCCAGTTATATTGTTTAGTTATCTGTGAACACCTTTTGAACAGGTTCATCTCATAGGAAATACACATTTTTATTAACATGATTAATATTTACTCCAGCAAATGCAAAAAATTCCCGTTATACACATAAGAAAACAAAAGTAACAGTTTTTAAACACCCATCTGTGTAAAATGTGATCAGAGAATACACAATTATAATCACTTGTCAAACATTTGCATGCTCTTTTTGATTAGACATTTTTCAAAATAAGATGATGATAAACAACAATAAAATAGTCATATTTTACATACATCGATTATTGTTACAGAATGCTGTATATTTTGTTGTTATATTTTAAATTAAACTTGTTTTAATATTCAGCAGGAGTCATTTTCATATTCGCCATAATTACACAAGGTAGTCTCAAGCAGGTGTATAATTCCAATTTTTTCATAATTTTACCTTTGACAACATTCAGCTTTCAAAATTTAAATGGAAATATCCTGAAATTTAAATGAAATATACCAAAATGTACGAACAACACGTGTTCAGTGGCAATAAGTACAAATTTTTTAACATCTTGATGATTCCAGCCTCTATAATCTATAAATATAATTTGTAACATCTATGTTTATATCTTAGAAAGCAATATTGATCAAAAAATTAAGATATTTATTTAAAGAAAGTATACATTTTTAATTTTTTAAAAAATATGCCATTCGACATGCATAACATTTTATGGAATTTAGTTTTCAAAACAAAAAAGGGTTGCCAATATTAATTTCTCAAATGAGACTTCCTTCTGTAATTATGCCATGTATGTGCACATAATTATATATTTTTCAAGCTCAGTTATTATTGGGGACAAGTCTTACAAAGTTTTGTTCATGGTTTTGTTTATGCTAACTACAGTCAATTTTCCAACTTTTGAAAATAATATTTTTTGTCATTGAAAAAGAAAACATTAAAGAACGCTTGTAGTAATATTTTTGTATCTCGCTTTTTCGTATTAACAACTTAAAGGCGTATTAAATTTTTATATTATTATTTTTATTTATATAAAAACTTAAAAATCTTATAACACAGCCGTTATTCATTTTTGCCTCAACAACAGACAAATAGCCTATAGTGCAACGGTATAAATTATTGTTTATTGAAGTACGTATTTCCGGAGATATGGGCTTCCAAAGTTACGCCTGGATCCTGGTATTTTCTAATGATTTTTAAAATTCACAAAGGCAATGTGAGTATCACTTTAAAGCGTTTCTGATTTCGGGTTTACTTATATTTGTAATAGGTGGAAAATACTGCGTTGCATTTTTATCGTGCACCGTACTCTTTTTTAAATACACATCAAAATCGACACAACTACCACAACCGTGATAAGAGAGCATATAAATATTTAATCCGAATCGTAGAAGACGTATGAAATTTATAAAATCCAATCAATTAGTTTCATTTAGTAACATTTATTTTAATTTAAATGATCGTTTAGCTACAATTGGTTTGTATCTTTCCCCTCCTACGGAATTTTAAAAATACAATCTCAATTATCCAGGGAAATGCACATAGTCCCATAAAGAAGTTCAGACAATGAAACGTCAGAATGTAATCCTTCGTCATATCTCGCAAGTAACCAACAAATGGTCCAATAGCGAACATAACATTTCCTTGCATAAACATGAATAGACCATATCCCGTTGCAAATCTGTAAGAAATTACATATGTTTAATACATTAGTAGCAACGGGAACACAGTTACAGTTAAGTTTTTTCCTGTTTACCTTTCTTTAGGAAGATACTCTGCAAATATCAACGGCAGTGGAACATGGATCCATGTTCGTAGGAATCCCATAACCGCTGTAATAATGGCCATTCCTTTGAAGTCGTATACGTTGAGGAAAACTATGGAAATATAAAAGTTAAATATTACAAAAAAAAAAAAAAAAAAAAAAAATGGAATAGTTTATGATTTTATTTTCGTGGTAGATCTCTACAAACATCATTACTCATTGGCTACATTTTGTTTTTTAAGTTTCATGGAATTCTAAAACTATAATTATATTTGTTATTTAGGTGATTACATTTTACGATCGCTATTTGCTTGCACCTATGAAGATAAAAAGCGGGTAAATGAGGTAGTCTTAGCAACACACAATTAGATCATGGAGATTGTGATGTTTTGATGCACGTATGTGGTAAAGAGATTAAAAACAAAAATATTTACCGTCGGATCTACTATGGACAAGCAATTACATTCGGTAGATGCTTTTCTGGGGTAGTGACGTTTTCAATTGTGTAATAAGAATGATTACTAAATTATTAAAATGTGTTCATTGTTGCATATTATCAATAGACTGCCTTTAAAATGATATGGGTGAAAAGTTGTGTTGTTGATTTCTAAGATATTGCTAAATTTTCGGAATTTGAACCTCAGTATCACTTACCAAAACGTGACAATACTGTAAAGAATGATCCAGCCAAATATATATACCTGGATGGGACTTGTATGAAAACGGCTAGGAAGGCAAGAAATATTCTTGAACCTAAATCTGCTGCTGCTCCGATTGCTATAATACTTGCTGTATCGGGCTAAAAAATTAAACACATTTATTTAACTCGGTATTTGTATCGGGAAATTAATTTTTGCATACCTTATTAAAACCCAGTTCGAACATGTACAATGGCTGGAGGGTGAAAAAAGCTATATCCGAATATAATGCAAATGATATACCCATAACAATGTTAACATAAATGGGCTTTTTCAATAGGGTCAAATCCAAAAAATCTACTACAATTTGCCACATTGACTTCCGCGTTTGGCTTTTGTCTACAGTAGTGTGCGTTTTGGCAGATACAACAGTGGATGCTCGTCGGGATCCTATAACGTTCAGCATTTCAGGCGATGCGTCGCTGACAACCATCGCACCAGACCAATTACCTAAACTGGCAATGCTGGAACAACGGCTCGATATTTTTTCCATCATTTGAATCGATAATTTTCTGGGACCTATGCTTGATGTTGAAACAGATAAATGGTTCCTGCCTTGGCCTACTTCGATGGAGGCCTTTCCAATTTCAGAACATTTTTCAGGTTGTTGACTGTTTTGGTCCAGAGGTTGCATTTCTTCATCGGCACAAGGTACTTCTCGCATATGCCATTCTACAGGTTGCATCAAGAGCATTCCTAAAATAGCATGCGAGTTGATGGCAGCTAGTACCATTAGACAACCTCGGAAGCCGTACCATTCCAGAAATTTCTGCATCAAAACGGGGTAAAACATTGAACCCAATCCAATCAATGATTGTGAGAAACTCATCCACATTATACGTTTTTTGACAAAGTAGTTATTGAATGTTGTATATGACGTGGGCACAATGAGACCAAAACCAATTCCTTGTATCAAACTGAAGGCAAAAATTAATCCGATAGTTGATGTGACAAAAATTTGTATCAGTGAACCAGCAAAATACAGAATGCCACCACATAGGCCCACATTTCTTACTCCAAAACGATTGAATAGAGACCCTGAAAAGAGTCCGGCAAAGCTGAATGAAAAGAAAAAGGCGCTTGTTATAAATCCAATGGCACTCGTTTCGGCTCCAATGCTTTTGAGAAAATCTCCAAATACCAGCCCAAATGAGGGCAGTGCCGCCAGCCCGCTGACCTATATGCAAATGTCGGTAAAACAAAATTCTATAAAAGTTTTATGCAAAGTACATACGAAAGGCATTGCCATGCCAATGCAGACAAGTATGCCCCAACCGCCATCAGGTGCCTCCAGACGTGTTCCCGATTTCATTTTAGTTCCTTGCTAACAGCATCAACGTTTAACTACAAATGATTAGAGGAATCATTTATCTGCTTGGACAAGCTCTAATAACTGTCATTTGTGGTGGGAGTTTTTACCATAATCTATGTAGACTGTAAAGAGGGTGGCAATAGATAACAATGATAAGACTGAACGGTATACATCACCTTTATAACGAGTTATAAACAAGACCACTAAGAGACAAGTTAATATAACGTCTTTATGTAAATAAGGGGCCTTGCCTCCTCTAAGATATCTAATGAACCGTGGTTTAGTTGACGAATTTATCAACTGCTATGACGTGACAGTCACTGATGTGTGAACATTTTTTCGTTAATATTTGGTAGATGAATTACTTATTTCTTGCCAGTATTTCATAAAAATTATGTTTTATTTAACGGTTAACAATTTCAGACATTTATCAACGGGTTTTCTTGGAGACTGTTTATGTTTGCGTGACAAATAATAACTACACAGAGGGTTCTATTAAAACGATTTCCAATGTCTCATGTAATTTTGAGTATATATATTTATGTTTCATAATGATAAACATATAATAACCATCATACCTTTGACCATGTAAAAAAGAAAAACACAAATAAATACTTTGGTTATGTCGTTTTTTAATTGTCAATTTTAACTTTTCTTATAATAATGTTTTTTAACATGGTTTGCACACATTTTAATATGATACAGACGTACATACATACATATATATATATAAGACACATACATTGCGTTCTGCCTATTGAATTTCGAATTAGTTAAGTAAGGCATAAATTAGAAAATACAGACAAACTTAAATGAAACATTACTTGTAATATAAGTACTGGCAATATTTTATCTCAATGAACTAATAACTAAATACATGAACATCACTATATATGTACATGTGTTTGTTGGGTTTCGTATTAGTAAGTAATTTTATAGTTTGTAAAAACTATGTTAATGTAAGTACTCTATTCGTAAAAATAAGTTTAAATAGGCTTCGCTTTATTACATTATATAGAGTTATCAAAAATATGTGGGTATATTGGTCCTTGCCAATGGCTTGTAGTGGTTATTTTCCTCGATTTGATATTTATTAAAATTACATTAAACGATTTTAGAATGGAACTATAACATTTTAATAGAACTGGTACTATGACCGAAATATTTTGCCACGGTTACTGCAATGAAAAGTACAAATAAAATAATATCATATTCTAGAATTACATATTGATGATGTGTCCACTAAACAGTTATCTAAAATCGGTTAAACTAAAAAGTTATCAGGAATGTTTAGCTAATTCATAGTAATAAATTGAACAGAAATTGTTAGTTAACTATCGATAATTTACGCAAATTGCTGACAATTTCTATGCGGCACACTTCCTTGGATCATTTTTTGTTAATAAAATGTTTTTGTATTGTTGAAATTCAAATTAAGTCAAACAGCCATTAATATCATATCAAAATAAACTTATGTCCTATATATAGTGTAGCTTTTGTTTTTAATACACATGTTCGCCGCCGATAAATCAGATGTTAGGCTCGTTTTATGTTTATAGAATGTTTTAAAGTGAGAGTTAAATTTTTTTATTCACTTACAAGTATTTATTATATTTTGAACTATCACATACAAGCTAAAATATTAATCTTATTATTAATGTGTAAATTTTAGTCATTCATTTATTACAAAAAATACTGTAACAAACTGTTAATAATATATTGTTAACAACATTTTTATAAATAAACGAGTAGGTTCAGGGCACTATTTACACATTCGTGTGTAAACCTCGAAATATTTCGTTTCTTAATTCTGAAAATATCCACATGGAAATAGTACTACTTCATTTCAAATTCGGTAATTTGACTTTGAAATGTTATTTGTGAATGAGATGATCGTGCCTTTTCGTAATATTTACTCCTTATATGAGAATGAACGTGGAGAATTTTAGGTTGTATATTGTGTGTTAAGGCTTAGCACACACACACACAAAATTACAAATTTGTCTAATGCTACAACTAATAATAATTTTGAAATAAATAGGACTCTCATTACTGGACCAGTATATTTATACTATTGTTTGTTGTCTGTGGTTGGAGCATCGGTGACATCGCCGTTCGCCCCATTTTGAACCTTCCTGCGACGTGAGTAATCTATAATGTATTCTATGCCCCAGGCAATACCACATAGGAAAATGCAAACACTTTGTGCATGAATGCAAATAGGATAGCTTTGAGTAACATCACGAATGAGACCTACAAATGGAAATCGTTAGAATTGATTCTGAATATTCCAGTCAATGGAATGCTTACCTATCAAGGGACCAAAGCATATAACAAAAACAGCTTTGCCCACCAAATGCCAACCAAAAGCTGACGGCAGTTTCTCCAGGGAACAGTACTCAGAAACCGTTAGCGTAAAATTACTGAGTGCTGATCCTCTAAAGAAACCGCATATCGACAGCCATATCATCAGCTGGGTCCAGTCTGTCTGTTCGGCCATGACTGCAAATGGAAAAGGAAACAAAACATTTAGTTATTTTCTCACATATTGCATCAGGCAAAAATGGTTTCTATACTTACTTGACCGGGTGATGGCAACAAATATAATGGACACAAGGAATACGGTACGTTTTTTAATGTTAGTGCGATCAAAGATTGGTGGCAAAACAATACGGGCAGCAATATCTGTAATGGCGGTAATGGAAAGGCAAAAGGCCACATCCTTTTTGTCATAGCCCAAATCGGCGAAGAAGAAGGGTGTCACCATTTTAAAGTTCATTTCCGCCACGTAGAAAATCGAAAGGCCAAACAGGATGTTGAGAAACATTTTGTCTTTGAGCAAATCTACATCCATGAGATCAGCAAATCGAACCCAAAATCCTGGCTTTTTCTCGTTCTGTGCCGCATTATCAGCAGCCTTTTCCATTTCGGTGGGTTTCATTTTGATAAAGGAGTCGCGATGGCCACTCATAATGGTTCCCGTTGCAGTGCTGACCCGCTTCAGCTCGCGATCATTCTGTTCGAATTCGTCATCACCCACATTCATATGGACTTGTAGGATTGATCCGGTGAAGTCCATATATGATAAGTTAGATGTTACAGATTGTTTGCGGTGCCTCAGTTGCATGCTCACATCGTGATTGGACATGTATGCACTTTCGGCCGATTGGACACCGGCCAAGGACATAATTCGTGGGAAGGTAGGTCGTTTGGGTAAACCCATGCGTGAACCATTCATTGTATTCATAGCTATTTCCGAATAATTTTTACGCATCGAATTTTGTAGTTGGTTATGTTTGTGGAAGAGCAGCGTATTCATTTCGGGCAGAGCATCTTCTTCTGTTCCATCCTCTTGAATGACTTTGAATTCTGGTATGGGAGCAATGGCCATCATTTCCTCGTCAACCTTTTCCTCCTTCATATGCCATTTAGCCGGCTGTAACAGAACTGAACCGACAGTGGCGTTTAAAGCAATGCCAGCCAGTAAGAGGACAGCTCCTCTAAATCCGAAAGCCTCGAGTAGAATTCGCACCAGCTGAGGCATGATTAACATGCCCATTGCAGTGCCAGCCATAGATAGACCCACCGCTTGGCCTCGTTTATGTTTAAAGTAGTGATTGAGGGCTACAAAAGCAGCTGAAGTGGCCAAACCCACACCAATGCCATTGAGGACGCCATATGTGCTAATAATATGGGCCATGCTGGATGCAGGGCTTGTACATGCCAAACCCAAAGCACAAAGTATTGACCCGGCTATGGCGACCTTGCGATATGAAAACTCCTTCAGCAAAGGTCCCACAAATAGGCCTGAAAAGTTCATGCACACATCCAGAGTACTGATAATGACAGCTGCTCCAGTGGTTCCTACATCGAGATCACGTAATAAATCTCCAAAAAGTAATCCAAATGAAGGCTCTATGGATCGTGTGGCCAACTGCAAAAAAGAGAAAAAACTTTTATTAAAAATAATTCTTATCAAAGAAATAAATGTACCCCCAGCAAATTTGTATTGCAAAATGTGTCATAAAATATTCACGAACAATTCGATTAGCAATAAAAAGAGCATTTTCAGCAAAACTAGAAAATAAAAAAAAAACATATTTTTATAGCTTTAACGATTTATGATTGATTTGGATAACTTTGATTATTTGAGCAAACCTATAACCGCAATGATGATAAAACATATCACTAAACGCGTTTTATGAGAGTAAAAATATTGATTGAAAAATATGTGAACATTTCAAAGATAAGGCATTGCCATTTGAAAACAAAAGTGATATTATCTTTGAACTGTAGATACTAGCAGACTAATGTAAACTTTGTTTATTTTAATTTAATTGTCATTTCTTTATTTTAATTATAAGATCGATCTATTTCTTCACAGTGTTAAATTCATGCATAGCCCCCGAAAGTATGCAGTAAAAATAGGCTTCTGAATCACAATACATATATGAGATTGAATTGAATTCCTATCACACATTTCGTTAGATTTGAAAAATGTGCAAGTATCATTTCAAAATTGCATATATTTATTGCAGCTTGCCAATAATGAATATACGTTTTCTCTTATCCTATTTAATTACTACACATTTAAATGAACTCATTTAGTGGCACTGTCCTTTTGAGAGAATAGTTTTAAAAATATATTCCAATTTTTTAAATTCGTTAACAGATATATAGATTTTGAAGACAATATATGACAGAAAAATATTCTGGCCATATCTAGGTTACCATAACCCTGAACATTGGTCTAATTTACTACCGATTGATGCCAGTTTTCGAGCACTCTAATGTATTTTCTAATGTATTTTCTCTAATGTATTTCTATAACTATGGACAATCAATATGGCTAAGTTTTCAGTTACTTATCTCAATCGCTCACTTTGTGACACTATGTCATCGACCGATGACGTCACAACGTCCATTCTTTCACCAAACTTAGAAACTCTTGTTGTGATTGCGTAGAAATGCTTTGACAAAAAAAACATACATACATATGTATGTTTGGGTTTACACAAATCAACCAGACATTAGTAAACACTTCACTTCCCAAACACAGTGTGAACATTTTTTGGACAATTCTTATCATGAATTCGTTGACAAGTAGATTCCTACATACTAACAAATTTCTGTAGATGATGTTTGTATGTACGAGTGCTTGCAGATAGAATATTCACAATCAAAATGGCAAAAAGTGCTCAGGCACTGTAAACAACTTTCGACTGGCCTTAATTTATAATCGTGTCATAAATTTTGACGAACACACCCATTGCGCAATGAAAGGTTAATATTCACCAATCGATGGTCGTGACAAAACGAATGACAATTTCAATAATTTCGTTTGCTTCTGGGAGAATAGACCGTTTTTCTTTGATATGACTGGCCAGCCAAGTGATTGATCAATTATTTTTTTGGAGAAGTAGAATTTGTTGTCCATTTCCTCAATAAGTTGGTAGCCATTATCTGTATCTCTATCTGTTGTGATTGATTGCAATGAATGCAATATAGACCTGCTTGGTGGAGTCATGTTATCGAGAATCTACGAATTTGTATAATCGATGCATAATAATATTTGTATTAAAATGTGAAGATTTCCTTGCAAGAAAACAATAGAATTTAAAAAAATTGGAATTAAGGATGAACTGTGATACTATAAATCAGTTGAATATTGAAAATATGTGTAAATTTTTTAATAAACAATATTGAGCTTGAGAAAAGATATACAAATACTGACGTCTACGGTATGCCGTTTTCGCATATTTAGTAACAATTGTCAGCAAAGTCCAGCAAATGAGTGCGAAGTGAGAGAGTCCTATATTGAGAACATACCGGAATTTTACTAGGTAGATTTGGGCTAGTAAGAAATAAACAGTGTATTATTCTTAAAATTTATTATTTTAAAAATATTCTTCTAAAAGAACTTTTAAGGGTTATAATATGAATCTTTGGATATAGCCAAAAATGTAGGATATAGATGAACTTCAGGTAATGTGGACTATCATTTTCTGATATTGCAGGTGTGACATCGGTAAAAAATAAAAGCAAACAGTTTCAATAACATATCAGATATGTAGTCTAAACATATTCCAGATCAATTATTATTTATCGCCGGTTTAACGTGACAATAACTCCACTTTTTCTAGAAATTAAGATTTTCATATAAACATGTTCAATAATAAAAATACATCGATTTAATAAAAATCTAAAAGTAAAGAGGCTAAGTCTAATTTATCCCAGTCTCTGGCTTTTTTGTCTCTCCTGTAAAATTGTAAAATACGAACTTAGTCCCTTTAAATGTAATGCCAACTATATATGTATTTTTCTATAAAAGAATCTCAAAACGACGAAATAAATGTCTTAGAATGTAGTGTGGACCAGATGTGCGGTAATGTAGGCCATTAAGTAAAAAAAAAAAACTGGTTGGGTGTTGCTTTCTATATATTTAAATGTTTTTATAGTGGTCCACATTAGCAGACTTTGAGTTTTTTAATTGTTTGTCTTATAAAAAGCCAAACGTATATTTTTGTTGTAAAAAATAATGATCCTGTTAAAAACGTTATATTTGTGAAAACCAAGAGTTCAACTCTTGAGGTAAAAAATGTTCAAATCAGAAATTTACAAGCAGAACATAACATTGTTGTTATTTTCAAAAATATGCAGGTGGTCAACATTAGACGCATAGTCCACATTACCTGAAATTACTCTATATATTATCGACGTGAAATTATGAATTTCGAAAAAATGAATCAAAAGTGAATTGTCACATTGTGTGCATAAGTAGCATGTGTCAATTGTTCTACCCTTCATAGTTGATGTAGATTATATGTCAGACAGGGTTTGTTGTCTGTCTCATCGTATTTAAAGTTTACATGCAATGTTTACAATTTATTTTTTTCTTTCATTATACAGAAGTGTGTATATCAATATATCATGTTCTAAACAAAAATAATCGGAACAACAATTAAGCGGAAAAATATTTAAACGTTTATGAAATAACAAGTGACAGCAAATGTGACAAAAAAAGCAAACCGTTAACAACAAAAGCCAATAAACAAATTCAATCATCGAATGTGGCAGTTCGCTGTTGCCAAGCAACACTTATTAATCAAATCTGTAGTTCGTTCTATATAAAGATACAACTAGTATTTATTGTCGTCGATGCGGTTTAGTTTATATTGTACTACAACAACAACTTCTACCGACGTACATTATTGTTATTGACAAACAATTTCCATTAAATGTTTTCTTTACAATAGCACCAATGAATTGTAGTTGTTATGAAGATAAGATTTTTCAAAACGTTTCAAAATGGGATAAGCCATTAGCTTAGGATTAATTCAATTTGTGTTGTTTTCGATGTAGATCCACGGTCGATGTTGAAACATTTGACAAATCTAAGTTCTGGTTTTCCTTTGAGCTTTGCATTTGAATGGCTACTCTGAATTTCAAATCGGAATTACAATATAAACCAAAAAAGACATTTATTTGTCTAATAAACATTTTTATTTCAATTATTTTCCTTGTTGAAAATCAATGATATTATAAATTATTATATGAACCGCCTTTATTGATATAATTAAAACGAAAGGGAAATCATAACATCTGCCCATTATGGTTTGATTGGCCAGAAGAAGAAGAACAAAAACAAACCTTCTTAAAGTTATCGCCATCTAATTGAAGCAATTGCATGAAAACAACATTTTATAGGTGTTAATTGAAGGTTTGATTATCGCAATCTCATCGTGTGATGGCGGGATGTTTGTTGTGTGCAATCACTTAAATGGCCGAATAAATTAGTTTCCATTAGGACGAATAAATATGCCAAAATTTTACCTTTGCACGGATTTGGTTGTTATGTGCGAATACGTGCTTTCTCGTGTTTTGAATTAACAGTGAAACCTGAATAATACACACGTGCGTATAGGATAATAATAAGTGTGTTTGTTGTTTGCGTTGTTTTCAGTAAATACTAATTTTTCGCTCTAATTATAGCAATAATAAAACTTTTTGTAAACATTATTTGGCAAACGAACAAATCTGAAATCTAGGAGCTATATAATGCCCATCGAACCAGGTACGCAGGTAGTGGAGGTACTAGAAGGTGTGAACCGATAAGTCTCATCTTCTAACAATATACTGGCTTGGTAAAATATTAGGTTGTACAAAGTTCAGGATTAAATCGGATAGTCCATTCGCGTAATATTACAAAATAAATTTGAAGCAAATTACACAATTTTTTGTGGGAGGTACCAAAAGCAGTGGACCGAATTTTATTTAAGTTTGGAAGAAATTTATATGATACGGATTTGAAACGGTCCGAAGAAACATTTTGCGTTGCAAATATATATACCCTAAAGATGATCGTATAAAAACATGGCCGATCAACGGTAAAAAATAAAAACAACTTGTTTTCACAACATAGTTGATTTGTTGGCTAAATATATTCCAGGTCAAACATTATATGTATATATTTGTCTATAAAAATGTTATTGCATTATATTTCAAAAAACTCTAAACTTGGCGGGTAATGTGGACCAGTATGTGTGGGTAATGAGGATCAGTAAGTTAAAGGTAGGTTGTGGATTGGTTGTGATAAATTTCAATTTATTGTACTCTTGTGTAACAATGAATGCAAAAATATATGGGTTCATGTTTTGGAATAGAATTTAAGGGTACCGCCCCATTTGCGGTATTTTGAAGGCCCTTGCTTCATTATCCAACCGCAGCACCTGAAATTTCGCATATCGACTTTTCAGAGGATAGAATATTTCCTTGCATATTAAATGCGCCCATGTTTGGAACTCTTCCTCATGAAAATGTCCCAATTTTTATAGTGGTCCACATTACCCGACATTGAATATTTTTATTTAAAAAAAATTATCGGCTTCAAAAATGAATAAAAATTAAAAATCAGCTATTGTAATTACAGCTAAA